AAATTAGGGTGCGTATTATACACAGGCGTGCATTATACACGGGTAAATACGGTATTATATTATTATTATTATATATATTACTACAACTAGAATTGTAAGCTTGTTCAAGACAAAATTGTCCTATAATTACAGGGTTTTTGATAAAGCCAGTTACCAAAGGTCTACCACAGCCCATAAGAACTCTTCCTGCTGTCTGTTGGGCCTGCCAGACACTTCTCATGTTTGGGTTTTGCCTTATACAGTGCCTTCTCTGGGCACAGTCATTTATTACACTGTTAGAAGCTGCTTATGGAAAAGCTTATTGAATCCTGTGTACTTGTAAGGTCTTCATAGAGATTTATCCTTACTTCACCTAGCAATGAATATGTAATATCATGTATTTGCCAAAAAATTAACCCTAACCCCAAATGATCTTTTTCTCCATTGGACATGCCCTCACCCCAGGAACAGTGATACCCACTTCCTTTTGATCAGATGAAAATTCCCTCTCAATCTCAAGAGGGTTGCGAAGAAGAATTAATAACCATACCGAAACTTGATGTGTGTCCATAAACTGAAGACCAAAGTAGTCTTTCTCTACAAGATCCAGGTTCTTAAAAACAAGGTCAAGAAGTTCTTGTCCTTTGGCCTTTTTCTAAAAAGTTTAAGAAGAATAATTAACCACAGTGAGCTACATGGAAGCCATTACATTCTTTTACTTGTCACATTCATACAACTTTGTTGGCTGTGGATCACAGCAGCCATTTGAAGTCAATAACTATGAAATGGCTACAACCTTGCTATTACCCAATTGGTCCCAAACTGTTATTCAATGAATCAGTGTTGATACACATATAAGTTTGTAGTGTACCATTTCAATGACAAAGACAAATTCCTTATGATTTTCAAATAGAGGAGCCATGAAAAAAACTCAAATAAAATCTTGGTCATATTGAACTATGTCTTGTTGTTTGTAACTGTTACTTAAATTAGTCAAATGACAATCAAATGTATAAGTAGCCACATGTATATGAATTCAAAATATTTCATTTAGCTCGCATTTGCCACTTGAACACTAAAATAGATAACTCTTTCAAAGGAAAACCTCCTTGGTTTAGTTGATAACTAAAAAACAAAAAACTAAACATGTCTTTCTGGATATTGCTTTTGTCCTGGTTATTAATTGTTCACAATATTATTACAATTGACTCCTTGATGCCTTGGACGGAAGGAAATGTGATGAGTATCATACTACTTCTATAACCTAATACCAAAAAATCATGTAGTTTATTGAGAATACACAGGTAAAGAATCCATTGAAAAAACCTCAAATGCACTCTGAAACATTGTCAAGAAACCAGCTACAGAAAAATTTGGACCTAAAAGACATCTGTCTATTGAAAAGTACTTATAGGATTTTATTTCACAACTGGGCAAAAGAAAACACAGTAATCAAATTAACAAATAGTTATCAAAGATAAGGTTATGAATAAAAAGCAATAAACACACAATAATAGCGTGATTTCTCTATCGTTATCTACCTTTTGATTGACACTTTCTCTTAAATTATATTCAACATTGCTGCAATAAAATTTCAATTTCAGTGGTCTGCAATATATCACTGCGCGCAAATACATCGGTATTATTACATCAAACGTTGAAACAAGGGCACTCGTAATATTCCAGCAAAAGAATACGTCTTTTTAAAAGTAATCAGGCGCTAAAAAACGACACTGAGCTGAGAAAAAAAATTGTCATGATTCATCACGACCAACATGTTTAGAGACAGTTAAAAAAATAAACCTATGGTAAGAATCGCTTCGCCGGAACGCCCCGTTGAAACATGTAAATTTAAAGTTAAAGGTTAATGATGCTTGCTCTTGCAGAATGGAATGTCTTTTTGCTTTCGGATTATGGTTAAGTTTCCATGAGGAAAAGAAAAACAGTTTGCCAAACAGGTGGTGTGATCTCTAAGATACTTGTAAACATAAAATGTGCTCAAGTAAATTCAACGTATATTGAACTCTGCAACGACCTAGTATAAATTAAAAAACATTCAAAGACAGTTAGATCTTATCTCATAGACATACAGCCATAAAACCAACAAAGAGTCCACTGTTTACTATATCTTCTACAAATATTAGCTCTTCTGGAACATTCCTTTCAAAACTTGACATTAAATTACAAAAGAAAAGTTTGAAACTTTACTGGCGGAAATGCAGCCATATATCATTTGCGTGAATTCGTCGAAGACAACAAATCATTTTAGTTACACGCCAAAACAAATTGCCCAAAATCGTGTCAATAATGGTAGCGTCCACCGTTCTTACTAATGTAAGCTGTTAGGAACTAATACATCATCAAAACTTACATGCAAATTGAACGAGAGATCGCTGCTATCGAGTAGAACGATGACATAGTCCAATGCATGTTTATCCTTCTTCTCTTCTTTGTCCTTCCCAAATCGTCTACGAAATCTTCTGCTTAATCTGTACATGGCAGGTGCTGAAGAGTAAGCTAGTTTCCTTTTTACTCAGGGAACACGGCTTTGCAACCGGCTACTTCAAAATAAGGCCATCAGTTCACTTCATCTTTTATTTCTGAGTGATAAATACAAATTCGTCGCATTCTTTCGAAAACACGCGAGCCTGCGGTTTTTGGACTCAGCATAATGATCGTTTTATGGTCGGTAGAGTCGTTAGGGTTCGTCGGAACAGGTCGTATAGTAGTCTTGTTACACCAAACCTCTTTCTCCTCAGTTTGTGTTTTGACATTTACCTATCTAAACTTATTTGAAATTTTCAACTGAAAGAAATTGAAACTGTTTTACCCGTTGCTGTATTTATGCACCCACAAGTAAAATATTACCAATCAATAATCCAATTTCTTGAGAGGTCCCCTGAGAGACTGGTCGATAGACCCGACGGTATAGTAGAGTACGCTCTCCAAACTTCACCACCCGTGGGATATATTTTAGCCGACGCATCATGACGCGATTAACCTCCCCGTAAAATGGTATAGTAAAATGCATCGTGATCTCATTGTGACTTTGCAGTGATTTAGAAGAAGTACAAGTTTCAGACCAGGTAAATTATGTTGTCTTCGTAGTTATTGTGAGCTAAAAAATGAGATTTCTCTGGTGCACTTTTTATGTGCACAAATGTAACAGGCTCGACTGAGGCGAGCTTGTTTGGTGTAGTAGGATTCTAGGTCAGGGGTATATATATTCAGCTGTGAAAAGAAAATAAATCTACTCATGTATCGTGAATTAAATAAGAGTCAGTTAATCGTAGAATTCATTATGATACAGACTTGTCGCTGTATGTTCATCGTTCCTTCAAGAGATGTCTAAAAACTGAAATGGACTTTAGGAAGTTTTCGTTAAGTCAGAACTAAATTGTATTTATTGTATTATTCAGAATCTAGGAACTTAGCTGAAATATGACTTTGTTCAGTAAACTGAGTTGAAAAGAAAAATCTTAATTGTATTCGGTTATCTAAGTACAATAGTTTGTGGTGCTTTGATCCTCCATCAACCATGTGATTGCTGAGGATAAAACAATCATTCTGCACATAATTCACCAGGTCATTGTTGTTTGAGTTTTACAATAATTAAATGAGATTTCACCTCACTTCTTCAATACCTGAGTGCTCAGAGAGTGGATAAAGCTATTCACAGGCTAATTCATAATCTGGTAGATAGGTACTACCAAATTACTGCATGGTTGGTTTATCGACCAAAGAAAAATATCCACCTTTTTAGCTATTGGGATCAGAACAATACTTCGTACCATATTATCTGATATTGTCTCAACAGGTTGACAGAAACTGACTGATTATTGCCACAATGGCAATTTGTTCTCTTTACTGTGATTTCAATGAAACTTTGCTAAGTCTTGTGTCCAAAGACACCGGTCTACCAAGATGCATCATGGGAACCATTCCACCAGCTGTTCTGCTTCTGTTGATGTTGTTGCTTGGTTTGGTTGAGTTGTTCAAGAAGAGAAGGCTACAGACTGATAATCACGGGAGAACTTTATTGCCCGATTTAGAATCAAATTCTGTGGAGGAAATTATCAGCGATTTAGAATCAAATTCTGTGGAGGAAATTATCAGTGCACCAGGAAAATCTTGTAAATGCAGAAAGCCTTGCAGATGTGTTAAAAAACAATATGAAATGACTAGTAGTTCTATTCAGGCAATAACAAACCCTGCAGGATTTGTTCATGGAGATAATCGTACATCATTTTTGTACACTTTACAACAGTTCTTGCACATTTGTCTTGTATTTGTGCCTATAGCTGACCTCATAGTCAAAGGAACCATAGAACCACAGAGAATTCAAGGCTATGTCATGTTCATGGATGTTGCAATGTTGCTTACCTGGATGTTAACCTTCAGTGTTCTTCGTTCCCAAAGTGCAAGATATTTCAAGGCTCATGTCAGTAGACATTCCTTTGGTCTCTTGCTTTTTTGGTCATTGGCATTTGTTGTTGAGAATTTGTCTTTCATTTCATGGAACAATCCTCACTGGTGGTTTCAAAGAAGTACAAAAATTAAAGAAGCTGAATTTGGTTTGTTTATATCACGTTATGTTCTTAAGTTGTTCATCTTTCTTCTTGGATTGAAAGGACCTGGTCTTTATAAACCACTAGAAGTTCCTGTTGAGGAAGAGAAAAAGTTTCTGGAAGGATCAACGGTAATACAAGTTTTTGCAAGTGATCTCACTTTTCCTTTTGAATGTTTAAAATTCACTGTGCTTGATTGGTAGTTAGTTTCATTCTGTGATTTCAAAACAGGTAAGAGATTATTACAGATATAGCCCTGATTATAGGTATCTTCATGGAAAAATATGACAGCAATTTTTTTAAATATTCTCCTTCAAGGAGACCATCGGTGTACCTTAACACAGGACAAAAATTAATTTTAAACATTACCTCATTTTCTTGTGTATGTTCTCACAAACCATTCAGAAGAGTTTGTTGATAATAATTTTGTTGGGGAACTAACTTTGCTCAAGGAGCCATTTTTCTTGTTTTAGGCATTGGACCGTCGAGGAGAGTCAGCTTTTAAAGGTATCTGGAAGAAAACAAAGTTGCTGTGGCCTTTCTTATGGCCCTCAGACAGGTAAAACCAAAGTTTATTAAACATGTAGCAGACTAGGTTCATCTACATGGCTTAACTCTTATACCCCTGGGAGTGACCATCAAATAATTTTTCTTAAAGATCTCAGTATGATATCATGAAGACAGGTGCTGAGAACAAGGAAAATATCAAAGCTGGGTGATGTTTTGATTTAACAAAAAGAAATTATCTGAACTGACATTTAATAAACTTCTGAGATCTTATGATTGCAATAGTTGAGTGTTTTTGATTTTTAAACAATTTTCTTACTGAGTTAATTTTTTCACAAGGTGGCTACAGGTAAGGGTTGTCCTGTGTTTCTTCATTCTTGGCGCTGGAAGAGCTGGAAATGTTCTTGTTCCATTCATGTACAAAATTATAGGTATGTGGACTTCATGGAATGTATCATTATTGTCAGTATTATTAACAGCAACATTTAACTTAATAGCTACTCAAAATATGGTCAAGTTGCCAGATTTATTGTATTTCTTCCTATCTGTGTTATGAGATGTGGCTGATAGGTTGTTTTCACCAAAAACTTTGACACAGAATTCCTGGTCTATCAATCAGGATCCTGATTATGTTCCTAATGACGTATCCAGTGTCTCATTTGTCTGGGTTATATTTTCAGTGAACCGTCTCACACCTGGAAAGGAAGCAAAGATAACAGATCCATGGCACCTGATTTTGATTTACGTAGCTTTAAGGTTTTTACAAGGAGGTGGTACTGGTGGTATTGGTTTGTTGAATAACATCAAATCCTTTCTGTGGATAAAGATCCAACAGTTTACCAGCAGAACTTTACAAGTGCAGCTCTTTGCTCATCTACATAGGTCAGACTATGAAGTTCAACATACCATAGTTAGCATACTCCCAAATCAGGAGAAATCTGCTACAAAAACTGTTTAAGTACAAATTTAGCAAAAATACATTTTCTTGTTGGAGAGTTTATCTGTATGTCTATGGTGATTGAATTTTTCTTTACTTGGTTGTGCTGAAGGTTCCTTTTTGTTGGAAAGATATAGTACATGTTTTGCAGTTGCAGGTGTAGCAGAATACAAAAAAAACATTAATTCAAAGTCACAAATGACTTTATATGTTAGTCTTTGTGTTATAGGTCTCATAAGAGATTTTGACATAATACAGGGTGAAATTTTAAATTTAGTTTTCTAGTATATTTACTGGTTCTCATGTTTTAATTATTGCAGCCTGTCACTCCACTGGCATTTGAATCGTAAAACTGGCGAAGTTATCAGAATGGTGGACAGAGGAGCCAACAGTATTTACAACCTTTTAAAGTCTGATTTTTACTGTCATTCTTGAAGAGTCCATCAAATGTTTTTAATTTCTTACTTGAATTATGTTCAATTCTTATTAATACGTGCAAATTTTGCTATGTGAAAGTTAATTCAGTAATTGAACTTAACAGTGAGGGAATATATGAAGATACAGATGTTATTACCCAGTTCTACTGCAAAGTAATGATTTATTTTTCTTCATTTTTTTATTTATTTTTTTTTTCATGTTCTAGTTACCTCCTGTTTACCATTCTTCCCACTTTTGCTGATATTGGAGTAGCTGTTGTTTACTTCATTGTTGCTTTCAATGGCTGGTTTGGACTGTTGATTTTCTTGACTATGGCTTTGTACATTGGTGAGATGATACTGAAAAATGAATTAAACAATGAAGTAAAATTTGCTCTTCTATCCAATGTATTTTAACACATGCCAGTTTATTTAATGCACTAATTATTATATTAACAAAACTTTTTTTCCATTCAGCCATAACAGTTCTTATCACTGAGTGGCGAACAAAGTATCGACGTGAGATGAATGAGAAAGACAATGCAGCCAAAGCAAAAGCTGTTGATTCTTTATTGAACTTTGAAACTGTGAGTTGTAAATACATCCTCACAGAAGTTTGTTATTGTCAATAGCACATTGCAATGAGAACTTAAGAATTCATAGCTTAATGCAACTTCACACGTTAGGTCACAGTCAGGTGAATGTATAATGTATACAGGCTGATGACAGGTAATAATCTCACTGCTTTTTTTGCACAATATTGCTTTGGTACTGTATGGAGAAGGTACCATTTGATGAGACTCATAAGGTATAACTTGGGAGATACATTGGCCTTATGGTTAGTGGGCTGGACTTTGGGTAGAGGAGTGTGGGCTTGGGCTATGGCTGGGTCATTGTGTTTTGTTCTTGGGCATGACACTTTACTCTAATAGTGTGTCTCTCTACCTCAGAGTTTAAATGGGTACCTTGGAAGTGTCATGAAAACCTGTTGGGTGGCAAACCATCCAGGGGAATTAGCAGTAGACTTAATCACTTTATGTTACAGAAGCTAGAATAGGCACTGGTGGCTTGGGCCACAGGCTGAAGATGATGTGTGCCCTTTCATTTTACCAGGTGAAATATTACAGTGGAGAAGACTATGAAGTAGAGAGACTGAACATGGCTATTGAAGACTATCAGGTATAAACACATTGTGACTTCAGTTTTTGTTTCTATTCTGGTCATTCTTTTATTCCAAAAGGATACATATCTGAGAATCAGTTGTCTATATATGATAACAATAAACATATTCTGTGTGGATTTATTACTTTATTTCTTTACTATTTTTTTTATAGAAGTGTGAGTGGGACACCATTGCCTCCCTTGCTCTTCTGAACACAGCACAAAACTCTGTAATCACAGGTGGTCTTTTGGGCGGGACATTGTACTGTGCCAAGTTGGTGACTGATGGACAGCTTGGGGTATGTCAGCTGACCAAACCCTCCAGAGCTTTTAGACACAAAATACCTGGTGGAATTTTGACATGAAAGACATGAAGACATACAGTTACTTTGAACTGAGGAATATTGGAACATCAGAGTTCTTTAGATTATGTACATTTAAGGAAGACTTAGTGTAGAGTTTTGATTGCAGTGCCTCCACCAACTGAATCTTAAGCTTACCAAGCTTAATCTCAGATTTGTGTACAAATCACTGAAAAAGACAGCTGAGAATTGTCACATTTCTCTATAGGTTGGGGACTTTGTGTTATTTGTAACATACACACTTCAGCTCTATGTGCCTCTCAATTATTTTGGAACTTACTACAGGTGAGTGAAGAGACTACACAAACTAGTGAAGTTTGTGGAATGCAATAAGCATGCTAACACTCAAGAGAAGCTAGAACTGCAAACATTAAGAACTATTCTAAAACGGAGCTGCAATATATTTTGATAACACATTGAAATGTCTTTCAGATAAAGGCTTTTTTATTAATATATGTACTTTGATCATTTGAGTTACTGAACTAAAACAGAGCTTGTACTTTTTAACTTCAGAATGATTCAGCAGTCATTTATTGACATGGAAAACATGTTTGATCTCTTTCAACAGAAAAGACAGGTAACATACCATGAGTGGTGCCTTCACCAATTGTTATTTTGAAATTTCGTTTAGTTTGGATCCGTTCCATTCGATAGGGCGATCCTACTAATCACTTCTAACTAAAGAAAGGCGGCCACATTTCTGATGCTCGTGCATCACGTTTCTCGTGGGGAAAGTTGTCAAATTTCTGCATCTGCGTCTATAAATAACAAGCAATAAAGGTGACCTTTATGATATTTGTTTTGACAGGTACTAGATGTACCCCATGCCCCAGATCTACAAGTACCTAGTGGCCTGATAGAGTTTCGACAAGTCAACTTTTCCTACAATCCACAGTAAGGGTGCTTTGTGAAAATATACTGCAAATGATGAGTAAGAGGAATAAGGAGCCACATGTGAAAGTTGAAGTAGATTTTTACTTGATTAATGATGTCACTTTTCCACAGTCCCGCAGTGTGTGTGTGACTCTGAAACGTTTTGTTACTGATACTTATTTTTCCTTCTCGATTTGTCTTTTGTGATACGAGTACAGGGTACGACAAGAAAGTAGTTTGTCCGTGGAGATCTTTGGTCCCCTGGTGGAATCCAGAGCTGCGTTACCGATCAGTTTAGAAAAGTATTTT